AAACCGAGCCTCAGGCTTCACAATCTGTATGACTGGTGCTGCCCATTCTGCAAACTGGACCGGTTTGATGATTTTCTCCCGGTTTTCTCCCCCTTGGTCCAGGAACTCCCTACCTACGTCCGTGACACCACCCACACCCTCCACCTCCTCCAAAACTTCCAATTCCCTGGTCCCCAACACCTCATCTTTACCATGGATGTCCAGTCCCTATACACCTGCATTCCCCATGCAGATGGCCTAAAGGTCCTCCGCTTCTTCCTGTCCCGCAGGCCCGACCAGTCCCCCTCCACTGACACCCTCATCCGCTTAGCCGAACTCGTCCTCAAACTCAACAACTTCTCTTTCAATTCCTCCCACTTCCTACAGACAAAGGCGGTGGCCATGGGTACCCGCATGGGCCCAAGCTACGCCTGCCTCTTTGTAGGTTACGTGGAACAATCCCTCTTCCGTAGTTACACTGGCCCTAAACCCCACCTCTTCCTCCGCTACATTACTGACTGTATCGGCGCCGCCTCGTGCACCCACGAGGAGCTCGAACAGTTCATCCACTTCACCAACACCTTCCACCCCAACCTTACGTTCACCTGGCCCATCTCCGATACCTCTCTCTCCTTCCGGACCTCTCTGTTTTCATCTCTGGCAACCACCCAGAAACTGATATCCATTTGAAGCCCACCGACTCCCACAGCTACCTAGAATACACCTCCTCCCACCCACCTTCCTGCAAAAATGCCATCCCCTATTCCCAATTCCTTCGCCTCTGCCGCATCTGCTCCCAGGATGAGGCATTCCACTCCCGTACATCTCAGATGTCCTCATTTTTCAAGGACCGCAACGTCCACCCCCTCAGTAGTCAAGAACGCCCTCAACCGTGTCTCCCGCATTTCCTGCAACTCATCTTTTACACCCTCTCCCCGCAATAACAACCAAAACAGAATCCCCCTCGTCGTCACATACCACCCCACCAACCTCTGGATCCAACGCATCATCCTCCGACACTTCCGCCATCTGCAATCCGACCCCACCAAAGACATTTTTCCCTCCCCACCCTTATCTGCTTTCCGGAGGGACCACGCTGTCCATGACTCCCTTGTCCGCTCCACACTCCCCTCCAGCCCCACCACACCCGGCACTTTTCCCTGCAACCGCAGGAAGTGCTACACCTGCCCCTACACCTCCCCCCTCACCCCCATCCCAGGCCCCAAGAAGACTTTCCACATCATGCAGATGTTCACCTGCACATCTGCTAATGTGGTATACTATATCCGCTGTTCCCGTTGTGGCCTCCTCTATATCGGGAAAACCAGGCGGAGGCTTGGGGACCGCTTTGCAGAACACCTATGCTCGGTTTGCACTAAACAACTGCACCTCCCAGTCGCGAACCATTTCAACTCTCCCTCCCATTCCTCAGACACCATGTCCATCCTGGGCCTCCTGCAGTGCCACAACGATGGCACCTGAAGGTTGCAGCCCAATGGTATCAATGTGGACTTCACAAGCTTCAAAATCTTCCCCCCCCAACCACATCCCAAAACCAACCTCCCTAACCTGTCCTTCGTCCCACCTATCCCCTCCTCCCACTTCAAGCCCCACCCCTCTCTCCTACCTACTAACCTCATCCCGCCCCCTTGACCTGTCCGTCCTCCCTGGACTGACCTATCTCCTCCCTAACTCCCCACCTACACTCACCTTTACTGGCTCCATCCCCGCCTCTTTGACCTGTCTGTCTCCTCTCCACCTATCTTCTCCTCTATCCATCTTCTATCCGCCTCCCCCTCTCTCCCTATTTATTTCAGAACCCCCTTCCCCTGCCCCATTTCTGAAGAAGGGTCTAGGCCCGAAACATCAGCCTTCCTGCTCCTCTGATGCTGCTTGGCCTGCTGTGTTCATCGAGCTCTACACCTTGTTATCTCAGTTTGATGATTCCCTCGTTTTCCAGCCTTCTGATTTCTGCCTCTACTTTTGTATGGAAGGCAAATGGCACTGGGTGGGCTTTGTGGGATGGTGGAATTACTTCCTGTCAACATGCAAGGTAGTCTTGACTCCTTTGATAGTCCCTAGACCTTCCTGAAAATCCTCCAGGTATTTAATTAGGACCTCACTCAGGCAGCCGTTTTCTAATTGAAAAATGTTGAGCCAATCTAGGGGAATGTTTCTCAACCAATTTCAATCCATCAAACTTGGGCTCGAGCCTTTTACCACAATCAATGGTAACTGAACCAGCTGCTTCTCATAAGAGTCTGGAACCGAAGCTGTCCCCTTAATCTGTGAAGGTTCTCCTGTTTAGGTTCAGAGTCGAGCCAAGGTCTTATGCAAACTTAAGGATTGAATTTTGTTAAAGACTTGTTCTGCAATCACAGAAATGCCTGCTCTGGTTTAGACCTCCATTAGAACTGGGTGACCATTTAACCAGATGTTTATTTTGATTTGCCCTCATCTGGATGTTGCTAAGCAATTTTACTGTTCCAAACTAGATGCAGGTGGTCTTTTCAGGTTGTTCACTCTCTGAGATACCAGCCTAGGAGTTCTCTTAATCAGTTTAGGTCTAGTCGCAAGTCCGCATGCTGATAGCAACTACAATGGCCTTGCCGGCTCAGATCCTGAAGAAAATGTTAACTGTTTGGCTGAGGATTGGCTTTGTTTTGAGGTTTTGCTGTGAGCAGACCTAGGTTCGCTTTGTTCAGGATATGACCTGAGTGAGCCCATGAAATTGCCTTCACTTCAAATGCTGCTCCCCAACTTCCGTCACACTGGCAAGGGTGTCCACTTCAATCAGAACACCCTGCAAATCATATGGTCCACTTGCTGCATTTTCCATTGATAAAGCCAGTTTAGTTCCTGGTTGAAGTCCAGTTGGGCTTCAGCTAGTAGGCGCTTTTACATGGTTATATCATTAATCCCACATTCTAAATGGTCTCTCAGCATCTCATTAAGGCTTAAACCAAAGTCACTTGCCAGTTGTTGTAACCTAGTTAAAAATCCCGATGCGGATTCCCCTGGTTCTCGAATTGCCCAGTAAAACTGATAGTATCTCAGAATTAGAGGAGGCTTGGGGTTCTAATATTCCTTAATTAAATCCATCAACTCTTGAAAGGTTTTAGTATCTGGTGTCTTAGGGGAAGTTAGGCTGTCAATAACCGAATAAGCTGTGTGTGTCAACCAACTTGTTGCCATTCACCTGCCCCATTGTCATTTGCCCAGAAAAAATAATACATCTTTTCCACATACTGGGCCTCGTCTTCGATTGCAGGATCGAACGAGTCAAGCTCCGCAAATAATAGAAGTGCTTAACCCAACTCAAAGATGACTGATTCAAATGAATTTCTGCAGGAGTGTGCTTTTCTCTCATTGCCACTGAATTAACTCCACAGAGGCTGGTATCCCTTCACCAAGTCACCCTTTCTTTGCATATGGAGAGTCCTTGACACTGATTTAGCTTCCTCAGAGCCAGCTCTCAGAGGATCGTCAAGATGTCTGACAGCCCTGTTCCTATCTGTCAGCCAGGCCTCCCTTATTGGACCAAATTAACAGCCATAATCAAGGAACTCATATTCTATGAGGTCCACCTGGCTGACCCTGTTGTAATCAGTATGTAAACCAGATGAGTTTTTAGGACAATTGATTCACTTTTAGGCAAGAACAGAGAAAGGATGGTATGGCAGACTTCTCAGAGCTGAGTCTTTCCAGGCAGCAGGTTAGAATAGTATTGGATCATGCAGTGAGTTTCCTGGAGGGATTTTCACTCTTGACCAACGTTCACAGAGCAACAGTTGATGAGTCAACAACGACCATACTCACAGATCAAAGTTTAGGAACCGATTTTATGGTCTCTGAGTGTCTCCTCTCATAGAACATAAAACAGTACAGCACAGTACAGGCCTTCAGCCCATGATGTTGTGCCGAACTTTTACCCTAATCCTAAGGTCTATCCGACCTTCACCCTACTTTGTACTATCATCCATATGCCTATCTAATTGTGCTTAAATGCCCCTAATGAGGCCGACTCCACTACCCTCTCCGGCAATGCATTCCACGCCCCGATCACACTCTGAGTAAAGAACCTACCTGTGATGTCTCCCCTATATCTGCCTCCACTCACTTCAAAACTATGCCCCCTCGTAATAGCTATCTCCACCCTAGGAAAAGTCCCTGGCTGTCTACTTGATTGATACCTCTGATCATTTTGTACACCTCTATCAAGTCACCTCTCATACTTGGTCGTTCTAAAGAGAAAAGCCCTAGCTTGCTCAACATTTCGTCGTAAGACCTTCCCTCCATTCCAAGCAACATCCTGGTAAATCTCCTCTGCACCTTTTCCAACGCTTCCACATTTTTCCTGTAATGAGGCGACCAGAACTGGACACAATACTCCAAATGTGGTCGAACCAGGCTTTTGTATTGCTGGAGCATAACTTCACGGCTCTTGAACTCAATCCCTCTATTAATGAAAGCTAACACACCGTACGCCTTCTTAACAACTCTATCCACCTGGATGGCAGCTTTCAGGGAACTGTGGACATGAACCCCAAGATCCCTCTGCTCCTCCACACTGCCAAGAATCTGTCCGTTAACCCTGTATTCTGCTTTCAAGTTTATCCTTCCAAAATGAATCACCTCACACTTTTCAGGGTTAAACTCCATCTGCCACTTCTCAGCCCAGCTCTGCATCCTTTCAATGTCCCTTTGTAACCTAGAATAGCCCTCCGCACTATCCACAACTTGACCCACCTTCGTATCGTATCAGAGCCTCTTACTGCAATGAAGGGTTTTGTTCATCCAGAGATGGGTCACACCTGATTCTGTGACCATGATCCTGCAGTGTGAAGGTTAGATCATAACAAGTGTGAAAATATCATCTCATTGCTGGAGACTCCATCATGCAATTGATCTAGCCAGAGTTGGCAACCCTTGATAACAAGGTGACCTCAATCCTTCAGCCTAGCTGTTCCTGTCTAGCATGTGCAAGTCCTTCATTTTGCAGCCTGTGTCTCTGTTTCCAGTTCCTCCAGAGAAACCAACGAATTTAACTTGTGTAACAAGCTGGAAGGAAAAAATCAGCATGACATGCAGCTGGGATCCAGGCAGAGACTCCTACATCCGAACAACCTACACACTCCGCAGAATAAAGTGAGTTACTATGACATCTGCCACAACCCCCCGCCTATTGGAGTTAATTTAGTAACCTGGTATCAGCATTCTGCAAAATAACTTGACATCAATCATTTGGTGTGAATATTGTTTCTGTTTTACTGTCTACTGTTGATTATTGTGTGTGTCATTTTGAATGTGTGTGTGTGTGTGTGTGACTGTGAGTGTATGTTACCATATGTATGTGTGTGATATGCATGTGTGCCTGTTCTGTACATGTTAGACTGCTCTCCATTGCAGGATAATTCATTGCAAGAACTCTCCCTAACTAACTCATTATACTTCGTGAAGAGTTTAACTCCCCGGATCTCACTGTGGGTTTAGGCCATCTAGAGGCAGAACCTCAGATCTTCACAGCTTGCCAGCTATAAGAAAAATGTTGTAAACGACATCAATCTCTTGACGTAACATTTTTCAAACTTGACAAAATCATTTGACTGTGAAATCCTGCAAAATTGTGTGACATCAAGAAGATCATGAATATCCTCCAAAATTCATTATCGTCCTTCATTGTCATCACAGTTTCATGGTGAACTATGAACGGTGATCTTTATTAGTGGATCCCTCATAGAGCCTTTGAGGTTAAGACAGAAGTGAAACATGGTTGCATCATCATTCAAGCTCTGTTATCAAGTGACTCCACTTTCAGAGAACCATGCACCTGAACTCCAAGGATCCTCTGCTCCACTACACTCCTTAAGGCCCAACCATTCACCATGAAACTCCTACCTGGATTTGACTTTCCAAAATGCAACACCTCACACTTATCTATGTTAAACTTCATTTGCCATTTCTTGGCCCACTTCCCCAGCTGATCAAGATCCTGCTGCAATTTCTGATAACTTTCCTCACTGTCCACAATACGGCCTATTTTAGTGGCATCACAAACTTACTAATCATGCCTTGTACATTCTCATCCAGATCATTGATCTAGATAACAAACAGCAATGGGCCCAGCACTGACCCTTGAGGTACACCACTAGTCACAGGTCTCCAGTCCGACAAGCATCCTTTAACTATTACTTTCTGATTCCTACCATCAAGCCAATTGTGTATCCAATTTGCCAACTCTCTCTGGATTCCATGCGATCTAACCTTCCAGAGCCGCCTACCATGTGAAACCTTATCAAAGGCCTTACTGAAATCTATGTAGACTACGTCTACCGCCCTGCCCTTTTCAACCTTCCTGGTCACTTCACCAAAGAAATCTAACAAATTTGTGAGGCATGATCTCCCATGCATGAAGACATGCAGACTACCCCTAATCAAACCCTGTCTTTCCAAATGCATGTATATCTTATCCCTCAGAACCTTCTCAAGTAACTTACCTACCACAGATGTTAAACTTAGTGGTTTATAATTCCCAGGTTTTTCTTTGCAGTCCTTCTTGAATAAGGGCAAAACATTCACTACCTCCAGTCTTCCAGGACCTCACTCATGGCTAACAATGATGCAAATATATCAGCCAGGGCCCCCGCAATTTCTTCTCTAGCCTCTTGTCGGCTTCTTGGGTGTATCTGATCAGGACCAGGACAAGACCAGGGGGCGGCACGGTGGCACAGTGGTTAGCACTGCTGCCTGACAGCTCCAGGGACCCGGGTTTGATTCCAGCCTTGGGCGACTGTGCAAACTCCACACAGACATTCTCCCCGTGTCTGCGTGGGTTTCCTCCAGGCGCTCCAGTTTCCTCCCACAGTCCAAAGATGTGCAGGTTAGGTGGATTGGCCGTGCTAAATTGCCTGTAGTGTTCAGGGAGGTGTAGATTAGGTGGGTTATAGGGGGATGGGTCTGGGTGGGTGGGGTCTGAGGTTCGGTGTGGACTTCTTGGGCCGAAGGGCCTGTTTCCACACTGTAGGGATTCTATGAAAAAAAAATTTATCCACATTCTAATACTTTCAACACCTACTCAACTCTGATATGGACTATCCCCAAGGTATCACCACTAGCTTCCTCAAGTTTCCAAGTCTTTATGTCTTTCTTCACGGTAAACGTAGATGAGAAATATTCACTGAGAAACTCATCCATCTCCTGCGGTTCCACACATACATGTCCACTTTGGTCCTTGAGGTGTCCTATTCTGTATCTAGTTATTGTTTTTCCTTGGATTCACCCTAATCTTCTCAGACAAAGCTGTCTCGTGACCCCTTTTTGCTTTCCTGATTTCCTTCTTCAGTAAACTCCTCTATCCCCCATGTATATCCAAGGATTCCCATGATCTCAGCTGCCTGTACCTGAGCCATGCCTCCTCCATTTTTCTGGTCAAAGCCTCAATATCTCTTGTCATCCAGGGTTCCCTACTCCTGCCAACCTTGCCCTTCACCCTCACAGGAACATACAGACCTTGAACTCTAGCTACCACACTCTTAAAGGCCTCCCACTTGCCAGAGGTCCCTTTGCCTGCAAACAAACTACTCCAATGAATCCCTGCAAGCTCCTGTCTAATTCCATCAAAATTCGCTTTGCCCCAATGTAGAACTTGAACCTATGGCCCAGTTTTGACATTCTCCATAACTATATTAAAATTAATAGAACTATACTCACTGGTCCCAAAGTGCTCCCCCACTGTCACCTCAGTCACCTGCCCTGCCCTATTTCCCAAGAGTAGGTTGAGTTTTGCCCCTTCCTGAGTAGGCTGCTCTATATGCTGCTTGAGGAAACTTTCCTAAACACATTTAACAAATTTCATCCCATCTGAACCCTTAACACAATGGCAGTCCCAGTCTATGTCAGGAAAATTAAAATCCCCCACTTTGGCAACCCTAATTCTCCTGCATGTCTTGGAAATTTCGCTGCATATTTGTTCCTCTAATTCCCGTTACTATTTGGGAGCCTATAGTACTACCCCAATAACGTCACCATCCCCTTCAACGCTGTTCAGGGTCCTATCATTAACTGTATACTCCTCCTTAACATTTGATCTCCCAAAGTGCAGCACCTCACACTTACCCAGATTAACCTCCATCTGCCATTTCTCCACCTATATCTGCAACTGATCTATATCCCGCTATATCCTTTGACAACCTTCTACACTATCCACAACTCCACCGATCTTTGTAACGTCTGTAAACTTACAAACCCGCCCATCTACATTTTCATCCAAGTTATTAATATATATAGCAGAGGTGCCAGTACAGATCCTTGTGGAACATTACTAGTCACAGACATCCAGCCATGGAAACACCTTTCCACCATGACCCTCTGCCTTCTATGGGCAAGCCAGTTCTAAATCCAAGCGGCCAAGTCACCATAGATCCCACGCATCTTAATCTTCTGGATGAGCATTCCATGAGGGAACTTGTCAAAAGCCTTACTAAAATCCATATAGACAACATCCACTGCTCTGCCCTGATTGATCACCTTTCTCACCTCCTTGAACAATTCAATCACGTTAGCAAGACATGACCTGCCCTCCACAAAGCCATGCTGACTGTCCCTAGTTAAGCCATGCTTTTCCAAGTGTGTGCAAATACTATCCCTAAGAATTATCTCCAATAGCTTCCCAACCACTGATGCAAAACTCATCGGCCTAGGGTTTCCTGGATTATTCCGGTTTCCCTTCTTGAACAGACAAGCATAATTAGCTACTCACTAGTCTTCTGGGACCTCTCCAGTAGCTAATAAGGATACAAAGATGTTGGCTAAGACTCCAGCAATCTCCTCTCTTGACTCTCTCAATAACCTGAGGTAGATACCATCAGGCTCTGGAGTCTTATCCACCTTAATGCTCTGCAAGAGACCCAAGACCTCTTCTTTCTTGATCTCAAAGTGCTCTAGCATATTAGGATGCTCCACACAAATCTCACTGTTTTTCATATCCTTCGATTGGATGAATATCCAAAGTACTCACTTAGGATCTAACCCACATGCTCTGCCTTCAAGCACAAGTTCCCTCCTTAAATCTTGAGTGGCCCTACCTTCTTCCTAGTTATCCTTTTGTTTTAATGTATGTATAGAATGCCTTGGGTCATTTCATAGCCCCTTCTTGTTCTCCTAAATCCCTGCTTGAGTTCTTTCCTACTTTCTTTATATTCCTCATGGGCCCTGCCTGATTTTAGCTCCCTGAACCTTACATATGCTGCTTTTATCCTTTTGACTAAATTCATAACCTCCCTCATTATCAAAGGAGCCCTTACCTTGCCATCCTTGTCCGCCCTCTTTCCTGGAACATGCCAGTCCTGAACTCTCATCAGCAGGTCTTTAAACAATTCCCACATGTCAAATGTGGACTTGCCCAATAACAGCTCCTCCTAATAATTTGCCCTCCCCCAATTTAGTACCTTGCCACAAGGTCCTGATTTATCCTGATTCATAGCCATTCAACTTAAGGAGTTGTGATCACTGTTTCCAGAATGCTGTCCCACTGAAGGGTCAGTCACCTGGCTGGGCTCATTAGCCAATACAAGGTCCAGTACTATCCACATACTGTTTCAATAAACCCTCTTGGATGCCCTTAACAAATTATGCCCTGTCTAAGCCTCTTGCTCTAATGGAATCCCAGTCAATATTGGGGAAGTTAAAGTCACCCACTATGACAATCTGTTTTTATCGCATCTTTCCATAATCTGCTGACATATTTGTTCCTCAATGTCTCGGTGGCTGTTGGGGGCCCTCCAGTATAATCCTAACAGAGTGATTCTACCCTTATTGCTCCAGGAGATGAGCCCTCCAATATATTCTCTCCGAGTGTAGCTGTGACATTTTCCCTGATTAGTAATGCCACTCCTCCTCCTCTTTTACCTTCCTCTCTAGCTTGTCTAAAACAACAAAACCCTGGAACATTGAGCAGCCAGTCCCGTCCCTCTCTCAACCAAGTCTTTATAATGGCTACAACATCATAGTCCCATGTACTGATCAAGTTCCAGGCTCACTTGTCTTACCTATAATACACCTTGTGTTGAAATAAATACACTTCAGCCCAATAGCACCATTGTGTTCATTTAACTGTCTCTGCCTATACTTACTTCCTGATTTACTGATCCTAACATAACCCATCCCTCTTGTACAGGTCTCTCCTGCTCCAGAAGAGGTCTCAATGGTCCAAAAACATGGAAGCCTGCCCCTTGCACTGGCTTCTTTGCCACGCTTACATCTGTCCAATCTTTCTATTCCTTGTCTCACCAGCATGCGGCACTGGTAGTGACCCAGAGATTACTAGCCTCGAGGTTTTGCTTTTCAGCCTCTTTCCTAACTCGGTGTGCCCTCTCTGCAGGACCTCATCCCTCTTTCTACCTATATTGTTGGCCCGATGTACACAACGACCTCTGGTTGCTCACTCTCCCCCTTAAGAATTTTGTGGAACCACTCAGATACGTCCTTGACCCTGGCACAAGGGAGGTAACACACCACCCTGAAGTCTTGAATGCAGCCACAGAAATGCCTGTCTGTGCCCCTAACTAGCGAGTCTGCAGCACTATCGCTTGTTTGGATCTTGCCCAACCCTGTTCTACGGCAAAGCCAGTTGTGGTGCCACAGGCCGGGCTGCTGCTGTTATATTCCCCTGAGAGGCTGTGCCCCCACAACAGTATCCAAAGTGGTATACCTCTTAGAGAGGGGCGTATCCACAGGAGACTCCTGCACTACCTGCCTGCCTCTCCTGGCGGTCACCCATCTACCTGATTGAACCTGTGGTGTGACCACCTCCCTGTAACTAGTGTCTATAACACTCTCTGCTTCCTGTAGATTCCTCAGTGTACCCCTAATAGGCCCTACTTTTTCCCTGGTTAACCTCTTCTTCCCCTTAAAATATCTTAGGATTCTCTGTAATCCTGTGTGCAAGTCCTTTTTCATGCCCCCTTTTTGCTCTTCTAATTGCTTTTTTAGGTTCCCTCTTGCACTTCCTCTATTCCTTTTGGACCACAGGTGATTTTTTCCCTTTGGACTTGCTGAAAGCCCGACTCTTTTTGTTATCCAGTCCTGAATTGCCTTCGACATCAGGGTTCTCTGAACTTATTGCTCCTACATTTCCCTCGAAAGGGAATTGTCTGCCCACGTTGCCTGCTGATCTGTGTCTGCATGTTTCCTCCTTAGGAATTTGGGTAAGTGCCATAATCATGAAATGGATGCAAAGTGGAGTGATTGCTTGTCTCAGGATTCCCGTTCCTGTACTGTTCCTCGTGACAAACTCCGTCTCTTCTCCACTGATGATATCTTTGTGCTCGCAAAGAATGAACTCGGATCCCAAGTGTCTGACGTCCTGTGCCTTGATGCAATGGATGTGGGTGAGTGAGTTTTGAAGCTCTATAAACATTGTTCTCAAATTCTCCCTCAACTACTGATCTCCTGTTTGTCATATGCTGTCATTCTATCTGTGCCAATTACTCCCTCCAACTCTCCTGTCAGTGGATATTCATTAGCACAGAGCTACAGTAACTGATATCCTGACACTACAGTGACCTGCACGCTGACATAGGTTTTACTAATATCCTGACACCATAGCAACTGGAACCCTGACACTTTGCAATCAAGGGCATTGACAGGACAGTGACAGGTACCATGAGTAATTTAGACCCATCACTCCACCGCCACAGTACCTTGGACCCCAATGGTAAACTATCTGGTACTCGGACTCTACAGTATCTGGTACTCTGACACTACAGTAATACACACATTGACACTAAACAATCTGTGACTTGATTCTATATCACCTGGGTTTATAACACTCCGCTGTCTGGGACCATGACACCACAGTAACTGATACCTGATGCTACAGTAATAGTGACAACCTGAAAACATCACACATCGGTAACATGGTGTGAGTGCAGTAATTAGACCCATCAGCCTGGCACAACGTTAACAGGGAGCTGATACTAAACTATCAGGTACTCTAGCACTATGGTGTCTGAGACACCAATACTGCAATAACATGGACCCTGTCACTATTGTAACACAGACTCCAACACTGCATTATCATAGACCCTGACCCTGCATTAATACAGACTCTGACCCTACTGTACCTTTCAAGAAGGAAAACCAGTAAAAATGATGAATGAGACTCAGATCCAATTTGTAGAATTGGAGGCCATTCAACCCATTGTGTCCATAACAGGTCCCAAAAGAGCTACCCAGCCAGCCCCAGTCTCTGGCCCTATCTCTATAGCCCTCATCACTTTCAAGTATAATCCAGCTTTCTTTTGAAACCTCCTATGGACTCCACCTTCACCACTCTTCCAGGCAAAGCATTCCAATTCCTAACAACTCTCCGAGTAAAGGAATCACCCCAACTCACTTCTATCTCTCTTGCTGACAATCTTGAAATTGTGACGTTTCATTCCTGATACACCACCTAGTGGAAACAGAATGTCCTTCTTTACCCTTTCAAAATTATTCATTCTATTGAACACCTCAATACGGTCACCTCTGTTGCAAGAAGAATAAAGTCGGAAGCCACAAGAACCAGATTATAGTCCAACAGGTTTATTTGAAATCATAAGCTTTTGGAATGCTGCTCCTTCGATGTTCCCTGTGTTTTCAAGTAAACCTGTTGAACTATAACTTGGTGTCATGTGACTTCTGACTTTATCCACCCAATCCATGATGGGCACCTCCACACCAATTTCTCTAATCTTTCCTTAGATCTAAAATCCTCCATAGCTAATAAGAACTGCCGATGCTGGAGTCAGAGATAACACAATGTGGAGCTGGAGGAACACAGGCAGCATCAGAGGAGCAGGAAAGCTGACATTTTGGATTGGGACCCTTCTTCAGAAATGGGGGAGGGGGAAGGGAGCTCCGAAATAAATAGAGAGAGGAGGGTTGGGGCTGGGGAAGGTAGGTGGGAAGGTGATAGGTGAGTGCAGGTAGGCAGTGGTGGGGATTGGTCAGTGGGATGGGAGGGGCAGATAGGTGGGAGAGAAGATGGACAGGCTGCATCAGGTTAAGGAGGTGGGGATGAGAGGGAGGGTTGGTCATGGGATGAGGCTGGGGGTGGGGAGATTTTGAAACTGGTAAAATCCACAGTTAGGCCATTAGGCTGTAGGCTCCCAAGGTGGAATAAGAGGTGCTGCTCCTCCAGTTTGCGGGTGGCGTCATTGTGACACTGGAGGAGGCCCAGGATGGACATGTCACCCAGGGAGTGGGAGGGGGAGTTAAAACAGTTGGCAAGTGGAAGGTGTTGTCGTTTGTCACAAACAGAGCGCAGGCGCTCTACAAAGTGGTCTCCAAGCCTCCGCTTGGTCTCACCTGTGGATTTTACCAGTTTCAAAATCTCCCCACCCCCCGGCCTCCTCCCATGACCAACCCTCCCTCTCATCCCCGCCTCCTTGACCTGATACAACCTGTCTATCTTCTCTCCCACCTATCTGCTCCTACCACCTCACTGACCAATCCCCACCACTCCCTACCTGCACTCACCTATCACCATCCCACCGACCTTCCCCAGCCCCACCCCCCTCTCTGTAGTTATTTCCCAGCTCCCTTCACCCTCCCCATTTCTGAAGAAGGGTCCCAACCTGAAACGTCAGCTTTCCTGCTCCTCTGATGCTGCCTGGCCTGCTGTGTTCCTCCAGCTCCACACTGTTATCTCTAAAATCCTTCATGCCTGGCATCATTCCAGTAAATCTCCATTGCATTGTCTCCAGGGCTTTAGCATCCTTCCTTAAATGAGGTGTTCAGAACTGAACACAATACTCCAAATGTGGTTTGACCAATGATTTGTAGAGGTATAGCATCACTTCCTTGCTTTTATACTCTATGCCTCTACTTACAAACTCAAGGATCCTATCAGCCTTTTGAACAACTGTTTCAACTTATCTGACCACCTTCATAGAATCATGCATTGAACCCCAAGATCCCTCTACTACTGTACTCCCCTCAATGTTGTACAATTGAACCTTTATTATCTCTGTGTTTCTTCTACCAAAATGCTTTACCTCACATTTTTCTGCACTGAAATGCCCATTTGACCACCTTGTCAATGTCCCTCTGAAGTCACTCATTTCACTATTCACTACTAGCTAAGTATCATCAGCAAATTTAGAGATTTTACCCTCAGCACCCATCTGCAAATCTTTTACATAAACCAGAAAAGGTAAGACCAGTCCGAGTATTATTCATGTTTTACTGTTTGTTTCCTTCTTGGTTGTGTCATCTTCAAGAATGAGGATGCCAGCACTACAGTATCTGGGATCCTGACAATACCATCACTGGAACCCTGGCACAAAATTAGTGGGACTTTGACTCTACAGCAACTGAGACCCTTACACTGTACCACCTACAAGGCACAAGTCAGGAATATGATATTCCCCACGTGCCTGGATGGGTGCTCCAACAATACTCAAGAAGCTTGACACTATCCAAGACAAAACAGCCCGCTTGATTGGCACCACTTCCACAAACGTACACTCCCTCCACCACTGACATTCAGTATCAGCAGTGTGTACTATCTACAAGATGCACTGCAGAAATTCACCAAAGATCCCTAGACAGCATCTTCCCAACACATGACCACGACTAGGTGGACAAGGGCAGAAGATACATTGGAATACCATCACCTCCAAGTCCACCTCCACATCATTCACGTCCTGACGTGGAAATATATCGTCATTCCCCCAGTGTCACAGTGTTAAAATTCTGGATCTCATTCCGTAACTGCATTGTGTGTATACGTACAGTACTTGGACTACAACGGTTCAGGAGAGAAGTCCTCAGGGGTTACTTGGGATGGACAACAAATGCTGGCCCAGCCAGCGATGCCCACATCCACTGAATGAATTAAAAAATAACTGGAACCATGACACGACAGTAATCAGAGCACTGACACTACAGTTTCTGGAGCCCTGACAATTCTAGAACCCTGATACAACTGTACTTGGGACTCTGATACTATAAGAACTGGGAACCTGACATGACAGGATCTGGAATGTTGACTCTGTAGAATATGGACTCCAACATTACAGCAACTAGGACCAAAACGTAGAGTATCTGGGATTCCAACACTATTCTTACTGGGATTTTACAGCCACAATAATTGGGACACACAACACTAAGTAGCAGAGACTACAGCAGTACAGTATCTGGGACTGGCCACTATTGTATTTGTGCATTAATACAGACACTGACATAACAGCAGATGTTACGTGGACACTTACCATATCTGACACAACAGCACATGGGTCCCAACATTATGGTATCTGGGTCTACCATTGTACCTGGGAGCCTGACACTACAGTATCTGGCACTGGGTGATCATTGTGTCGGAAACTCTGAGAATACAGTCACAGCAATCTGAAAGTCACAGCATCTGCGTCACTGGTGAATCTCTGAGTTTTGATGATACTGTAATTGAGAAATCTTGTGCCTCAGCTGCCAATGCTGGCCTGTATTTCTGTAAAATTTTTGCCCTGATTATTGCTTCCTCTTTGTTCTCACATTAGTGAAACTAGAGCAGCCTGTCGATCCCATCATACAAGGAGATCCACGAAACATCAACTGTTTGATTATAAGATGGAGGATAAGAATTAAACTGCAAATTAAATGCCAATTGCAGTACCGAGAACACGGCGAGTCTGCCTGGAGACAAGTTAGTGCTGATCATATTGAGTCTTGTCCTGGGAGGATGTCAAGTGCGAGTCAGCTCCTGGCAACAGTTAAGGGTGACACTACATCAGATTTAGATTTAGATTTATTTGTCACATGTACTAAGTATAGGAATACATAGGTACAGCGAAAACTGCACAAAGTCGCCATTCACTGGTGCCCACTTGGTTACAAAAACCAGAATTAAAAGGTTTAACAGAGGTAAAAAGTAAGCAAGAAAACAGAGTCCAGATCTCAGAGCCACAAATTCCATCTCCACAATGGTGCAGGCGCTGCTCCAATTACTAGATCACCCAGGAGGCAGCACGCTGCCACCACCGTCACCGCCTCACCGTCCCGCTCCTGCCGTCACCGCCTTACCGCCCCCGCTTCACCGTCCCTCCTTTACCCTCACCGTCCCGCTCCCGCCGTCACCGCCTCACTGTCCCTCCCTCGCTATCACCGCCTCACCGTCCCGTTCCCACTGTCACCGCCTCACCGTCCCGCTCCTGCTGCTGAACCAGCCCACATTTGATCCGCCGCTGTTGCTGTGGTCCACGCTTGATCTGCCATCACTGCAGAACATGGCCTGCATGTTCAGCTTCCAGTTACGACCCAACTCCTTCCTGACTCCTTAGGTTGTTAGTTAAAAGGACGGGGGTTGGGTAGGGTTAGCATTACTGCAGAGAGGAGCAAAAAGAAGGAAAAAAAGGAAAAGTAAAGGGAACTGGCGAGCAGAGTGTAGCTCCAAATGGAGCGACTTACCCTGTCACCACCTTGCCAGTTTTACTGGACTGTGAGGACTTTTGAAAAGCGTTTTATGTTAAGCTCCTCACTTTTATTTTCACAGATTTTGGCTTTCATCAAAGAACTGCAGAAAGAGGAGCGTCTGTGCCAGTTGTCACCAGGCACTGAGTACCTAATCCGCCTGCGCTGTATGTTGTCTGGTACAACTCGATACTGGAGTGACTGGAGCGTAGAATACTCTGGACGCACTGCAGAAAGCCGTATGTACCACAACCATCGCAGATAGGGCTAACCTTCAGTCCAGGTAGCATGCATTCACCAAACCACCAAAGATGTACCTGGGACCTTTGAGTCTGTTATCTCTCACCAGAGTATCATACTGAAAATCAAAGCCTGCTAGAGTTATGACAAAAGTTAAAGATTTTATAAAAGCCAGTTTACTTTGAGAGTCTGGTTGCCAGAAAGCATGGACCATGTTTTTGTACTTGACAAGAATTGTTGATTTTTACAAATAAGTAGATTCCAGATAAATAATGATGAACCAATTTCATATCACTTGACCAGTTAAAACTCTCAACCCCTGTAATGCCCCCCTCTACACATACAAACAGACACAAAAAAATGGGTGCTATGGATGGAGGAAAGGAGTGGGAAGGCAGTTCAGGCTGTCAGTCTGCTATCACATGTAGGCTAAGCCCGGTAAGGGCAGCAGTTTCCTTCTGTACAGGAACTGTAATGAACCAGATGGCTTTATCCAGATGACAGTTGTTTCATGGTCATCATTTGACTCTTAATTCCAGATTTTTTGTTGAATTCAAATTCAACAACAAGCCATGGAGGGATTGAAACCCGTGTCCCTAGAACATTACCTGTGTCTCTGGTGCTTAATACGATTGCCTCCCCATACTGCTTCACAATACCAATACATCATCCCTCACTTGAAATGTTCTACCTGCTAAATGTTTACCTGCCTAATCTTTCATTTTCATTTGTGAAACTTTTAAATGTTGTTGTGCTACCCAACGTGATCCCATCCAATGCAAGGATTTGTGTTAGATCGCTAAGAAAAGAGGAACGCATCCACAATCTTGTCAAATATCCGGCTTTATTTCTTTTTCTTTGTTGACTACATAGTTGCAAGTTGAGACCTCTGCAGCAACAGCTTTAATTGTGTTTTTGATACACTTTGACTTGATCCTCCCTGTGACATACTTGAAAGCTGTTCCCCATACCCTAAATCACAAGATCTAGGCAACAGTCCATTCGTCACGTACTCTCATGTCTGCTTTAGACTGATTTCCTTACTTTCAACCACACCCAGGTTTATGCAATAGCGCATGTAAATTTAACCCTTGTTATGCTGTAGCTTAATCACACAATTTTCAATATACTCCCCAACACCCCCCCCCCGGCTTTTGATTCTTCCCAAACAGAATCACACAAGCAAAGCAAGCTAATAATAATATATAGATCACCTAGAATGTTGAAGAGCAGTTAAATACCGAACTTTAAGCTTTAGCAATTGCCGAATACAACATTCAAGCAACATACACTTATTCTGTATTTCTTGTTTAAGATGTATACAAAGAAGTATTTACATTGAGTCCACATTTTACGATAAGTCCTCCCTTTTTGGTGCAGGGGATTGGTAAGTCACTAGTAAGCAAACACTCAAGGTGCGCTGTTAGTAATACAATCAACTTCTCCATCTTGACCTATTGTAACGATTCTTATCAAGCTTCAAGTTCAGTCACTGGTTGCTTATTAACATCATACGTGGACTCAAAATTCCCTAGTTCTCTTCATCTGTATCTATCTTGAGAATACTTCTTCAATATTTTTCCTTTGCCAATTTTATGAATGATTGTGTCATTGAGTGGCAACTACTTCCATTTGCAAATACCCCCTCAGGATTGCAATGTACTTGGTATCAAACAATACAGCTCTGACAGATTATAGTGTGTTCATCAGTCTTTACCTTCAGCTTATGCTTCCCCCCTTTTTTATTCAAGGTATCTGTATGTCATCATTTTTGGGCCCTTTCACTTCAGCTCACTGTCACTGTTTCAAAGTCAGTTTCTCGATAGAGTATGTGTCAGTGTCTTATTGTTTAGACTATGCTTTTGTGCTCTTCCAAGCCACACTAATCCATTTGTCGAGTAGGTGTACGTGTCTGGGACCTGTTCTTCAGTGCAGTTTTTTTTT